ATAACTGTAGCAAACATTGAAAAAGGTACAATAGAAACATTGGTAATAACAGTAGTAGTTGTAGTAGTAGTAGTAGTAGTAGCAAGAAAAGTACTAGCACTACGAGTAAACACAGTAGCAAGAGTAGTAATAATAGCAATAGTAATTAATAATTGGAAGACTGGAAGGAAAAGTACTAATACCAGTAAGAGTAGTGGTAGCAGTAGTAGTAGTAATAATAATTGTAATAGTATTAGTAGTAACAGTAGCAGTAGTAGCAGTAACAATCAGAACAGTATTATTTCACCCATTTGACCTGACAATCTATCCAATGTGCTCAAGACATAGGTACCAAGAAACATTGCTACATTATATGCACTCATGTATAGTAACATTGGAAAAAGTGCACGCCCACAGTCCCCCGGACTCTTTTTTTTCCCCGTTGCTTGTGGCAGGAAAGGCTTGCGATTGAAGCTCCCGTAATGCATAGACATGGATGTTCCTGGTGTTGTTGATCTCAACAGGCTTCGACTACTCGTCCATATTCTCGTTGATGTCGTTGTTGTTGCTTCTTCCTTTTTTTCTGGTGTCGGTGGTCGTGATTGTGCGGATCAGCTGTTCATCACCGAAGCAGGCGTAACACCTCGCCTACGAGCAGTAGCTTGAGCTTCCGATACAAAACCGTCCGCACAAGAGCGACCTGCACCAACACGAAGAAGCCAACCGTGCGTTGCCATGAGGCGCCTGATTGCTTCCATTGAAGCAGAGCGTGAGAAGATGCGAACCACCTGGTCACAAATCGAGGAGGATTGCCAGATGTGTTGAGCAACATCTTAGGCGAACATTTGGCAAATCCACTGGAGAGCATGTTCAGGAGCAGCAGGCGACCTCGGACGACCTAGCACGGCTGAAGCTCGATACCGAGGCCTAAACTGCTAGTAAGTATTGTCTTGGATCAGGAATGCCTTTGATGAAGAGTAGATCTGCGGGAGTTTCTTGTTGTTGGTCGCGCAGACTCCCAGCTATTCCCGATTAGCAATCCCTATGTAGATACCACAGAATCCGCTACCCCTCATTGTTCAAAACGTTAGAGGAATGGTGCCGTTCGGAGCGATCAAAGGCTTCGCCCTCAGAGGCTTGTGCTTTGCCTTTGGGTGCTGCTAACGGCATCGTGTGGATCGAAACCTCTCTCTGCAAGCCAGCCTGCCAACCCAAACTCTGAAATCGAAGCACGAGCATCATTTTCTCACCTAGATCCACGATTACCCTGACTTGACACAAGGATGGCGCATGCGCATTACCTGCATTGAACGGTCTCGACAACTAACAAGAGCTCTTTGTGTGCAGAGGAGATGGGAAGGCTTTCAAAGTTTTGGGTGGCATGATGCTCACCAATGGCTTTTGCGGGATCTGCACAACCCTACGGCAATGTTATGCCTCACAAAAGCTTGAAGCCCTGGATGTGAGCATGGAACGGATGTTCTGCAGTGGCCTGAAGGAAGGCTCACAAGGTCCATCCACTTGCCTGATGAGTGCGGTGTTATGAAAAGTAGAGCAGACGAGGGCTGGGACCTGATGGGCAGAGATTCGTGCATAAAATGCTGAGATTTTTGAACTGCACTCCGCTTCACCTCTTGCTTTCGCGGACTTGGCGAACTGGCAACCTTGCTGTGTGATGTGCTGAGCTATACAACTCCTGATTGCACATTCTAAGATCGAAAATGAGTGGAAGCGGCTGGATCGCCTGCGTGAGCGGATGAGCATCCTTCCTGGAGCGTCACGCGAGGCCGGGCTTCAATTTGTCAATGGTGTGCGATGGTACTGGTTGGGGAGTTGCAATGACATTTTCATCTGTACCAAAGGTGCCCTGCCTCAAAAGTGGATCTCGCGCCAATCTAATCTTGCATGTCTTGGAACCGATACCGGTAGCATTCTGGACGGGACCCCGCTACAGCCCTTTGGTGCCTAAGCGGTTGTCTGGTTTACTTGCCTTTGGAAAAGGACCGGGGCTGGGCAATCATGGGCAAGTACGCAATCTCGATTCAAAGATCTCTTCTGACGTTTGGAGGTCGTAATCACAAGCTGCAAGCTAGAGAGGAAGACTGGTATTGTAGTTGGAGAGATGCCATGTATGCTGGAGTAGTAGCAGTTTGGGCCGTTAGCAAGAGCAGTCATGTATAGTGAAAGTCAAGAAGGAGACATACCCCATCGGCCATCCTCAGAACGTTTTCTTCATGTCGACTGCACACGTACTTTCCGGCAGATTCTCGAGATCAATTGTTCCGGGGAGCTGCTGTTTCTGCCAAAGCGCGTCCTCAGCCACATCGAAGGCAGGCTCTTAAGCTTGATACTCTAGTCTACGGTTTTTCAGTTTGTTCAAGTCATGGCCAAGGAAGTTACCTGAATCACATGTTCAGCGACGCTTACATTCAGAGCGTGCCGCGAGATGATGAGGCCTTTTGCCGACGATTTAGGGTTCTCCAGCCTCCGGTTTATGCCTTCTGGGGTTTTCGCTTTCTGGGGCCTGGTCATTGCCCGGTATTGATTGGCAACGCGGCCGCATCAACCAAGGTTGCTTGTGGAGGAGGGACCTGTGTACTCATTATGTAAACACTGTGGAAGGTTTTTTCCGGAGTTTTATGTACTTGATTTCATGAGGCTCCAAATGATGCATGTGTGTAGCAGTGTAGCAATTCTCTGGAAACGCCGCTATCAGGGCAGATACTTTTTGGACTTCAATCCAATCTGCTTCGGTATCATCGTGGACTGGCTTCGGCAGCTGGAGGCCTGCTCGTAATGGAAGAGTCTTGAGCCAGTCTTGGGTCCATACTCAGACTTTTTACATGATAGCGTGCAGGACAAGCCTGATATGGCCGTTCCAAGGGTGCCACCTGCTCAGATAGTGCCGTGCTTTGTAATGATTTGTGGTGACAATTTGCTTGGCATCTGCACTGCCTGCCAGCTACAGCAGGAGGGGCTTTTCAACAAACGGCATGCTGATTCAGCAAGATCAGATTGACTTGATCAAGTATTTGCCACATCACATCTGAAAAGAGAACATGTCCTTCCTGCAACTTGTGGAAGGGTCACCAAGCTGAAACATGTTTGCTTTTTCCTGCAAGCATTTGGAGGAAGTAATTTTCGGTACTCCTAGTGAGTTGTAGAGTGGCTTCGGTCATATCAGCATCTCGAGATGGTCCCACGATATGCTTCAGGGGCTCGTGCGCGAGCGGTTTTGCGGCCTTTTGCGGTGTTGGATGCAACGTGTCTGGCACCTCCTTAATCTTGGGGATCCTAAGAACAGGGCTCCCAGAAAAACAAGAAGTGGTATCCTCAATGAGGCCGCCTCGGTTATAAGGGCTCGTGGGATTTCAGAGTACAGTCGCAGTTAGTGTGTAATGGCCTCCTCGCAATAACAACATTGCTGCGCGGTGGCATTAACCCAAAACTGAGCTTTTTGTGAGAAATGCTTGACTGTTGATTCCAGCCAGGGTTTGGCTGAGTTTCTGCCACAGACTGCTGACAATATACCTGGGCGTTTCTGCATGCACTGTCACAAGACCTTACAAGATTCATAAGCAACATTGTGGGTGGTCATTCGCAGCTCGTCAGACCGCCTAGCAAAGCAAAGCAAGGCAAAGCAAGGGGAGGGAAGGGGAGGAGAAATGGGCAAGGAGGAGTGCGGGCGGGGAAGGCACACGGAAAAGAGGGAGATAGGGAGATAGCGAGAGACAGAGAGCATGCACGTGCTGTTTGCCCTGAGCATTGCGCGCCAAACTGCAGGCCAGAAAGCCAGCAACTCAACATGGCAACGTTCCCAGTGCGGAGCAGCCAAATAGCCGTGGGCGGTCCAAGGTGACGGGTCTGCCGGACTATGGATTTTATAGAGGTTCAAGTTCAGGATTTGCACTCCTGTAGCGAATCATCGATGCAAGCATGTACCGCCGCGCTTGCAGCGGCATGCCATTCGTCATCCCCAGTGCGAGAGTCCTGCAAAATGACCAAGGACCTCTTGGCTGAAGCCCTCAACCTGCGGCAGTTCGTATGCAAGGGACTTGGCTCCACCTTTCAGGGCATAATACATCTATCAGACCTTAATACGAATCTTCTTTTGCTAAGCTTGAAGCAGCCAACAGACCAGAAATAACTCCCTCGCAGTGCTTGATGTTATGCCCCGTGCTCCTGGGCTTGTAGTTTCTTCCACTTGAAATTCGACAAAAGCGAACAGCTGGCCGAGTCAGTTCACATGAAAAGTTACAAAAGCCACAGGGAGAGCAATTTTCTGGATTTCCCGCTAATCTCCTAAACCTCTGCCAGAGGCAAGCTTGCCTTGACCATTTCCTTGCTTTTCCTGAGAGGCTTTGCTTCCCACCCAGCTGTGCGCATTTTGAGCATCAGATCATCAGGGCCTGGAATTTCTCAGGCGCCGGCATGCGATATTCCTGTCAGGCAGCGGCATGCAATCTGGAAACTACCCGATGCTGATTTGGGATCTAGAGCTCACCAAATCCCGGGGCTTGGAAGCCAGTGTCAAGCTTGTTTGGTTCACAAGGCTCAGCAACGGCTGCCCTCAGTCATATCCAGTTTCGAATCCAGATTCTGCATCATATGTAGAAAGAAAAGTGGCAGAAGGTGAGATTTCGAAGAGTTGAGCTACCAGACGTACCTAGCAAAGTCAATGGGCCTGTGTACGAGCAGTTGTTCTTGCACCAGCTGTCTAGTGACTCGCCAGCACTCATGCATTCAAACGCCTGAAAGGATCTGCATGCAAAGTGTGTGTGTGTGTGTGTGTATCAAACTCTGTTGCCAAGAGATTGTTCTATAGCAAGGTCGTAGTGCAGCAAGCATAGGCCAGTGCTAACGAAGCTGTCCAACATGGCGGAAGCGGAGATTGATCACCTCCGTGCGCCCGCAGAGCAATCTTAATCGAAATTCTTGTATGCTACGATCTGCATTGTTTCGCAGGCTGTTGTCCTCAATCGTGTTTGTCATGGTATTACTATGATGGTGAGGGACCCCAGAGCACAGATTTCCAGGACGTGTCAGCACGACCTGGTTCCATAGTGCAAAACGTCGACTCACTGGGTGAGTTGCATGGATTTGACCTGTTTTGAGTTGATCAGAATTGCATGCATGAGAGCTGTGAACATTTGACAGCTTCAGAATCGTTTTTGCACACATGCTAAAAACCTCGAAAATGCACGCCGTCACGGCGTCATACGCTCCCATATAGAGGTCAAGACCGTACTCCAAAAAGATTCATGAATCCGAGAAGTTGATGGCTTGTGCTACTCAGGCTCATTGGACTACCAGCTACTGGTTCTAAAATTGAAGCGCTGAACCAGAGAGTCGAACTACGTTATGACTCCAAGCCCCAACCCAATCCACCTGATTAATGAGTCTAAGTCATCCAACCATATGCTCAACAAGATTTGCAGGTCAAGACTAGCCTTCATGCTAACTATATCACTCTGTTGAATTTAAGCACTTTACAATGGTAGCTGACATACTTTTGGGGTGACTTCATTGTTCGTTTTAGGTCCCCATCAAAAAATAAAGTACTCATTTGTCATTTGCTAAAAACGAGAGAGAGAGAGAGAGAGAGACATTTTGGCTCAAGTCTCCTGCCGCTCCTTGTGGCTCGCCACGGGGGCCCCAGGGCGGCCCGCCAGCCCTTGCGGAGAGTAGCCTCTGCAGGGGGGGCAGGTGGACATCCCCGAGGGGCGGCTTGGGCAGTCCGGGCAGCTGTTTTCCAGCCAAGAAGGTTCCCTCAAAAACCTGTAGGCAGCCTGCTCGTCAGCGTAGACCCACGACCCCTGAATATCCTGCCGAGCCGGCGCCTGGAGATCGCGGAGGGCGGGACTGGAACGGTGAACTTTGCGCCTACCAGCTGAGGGTTGTCTTGAGCGACATAGGCAAGGTCGGAGAAGGCCGTGATCCCTATGTCGGCGCCTCGAGCGCCGCCGGCGGCTGCGGAGGACATCGATGACATCGACAACCAACCTAGGCTGAACAACAACCAGGACAGCCCCAGCAAACGAACCAGGTGGGATGTGCCGAATCAGATCATGCCTGCGGCGCCGACACCGGCATCTTCGGGGACGAGCATCACCCTAGAACAACTCACAGCGCAGCTGAGCGCTGCAATGGCCCCTGTCACGGGGGGAATGGCTGACCTCAAGCAGAGGATAGTGGACATGGAAAGTGAGGTTACGCAGAAAGTCGGATCTACTTTGGAGCTTGTCCGCACGCTGGACCAGAGACAGAAGGCGATGGGCCAGCAGATGGACAGCATGCAAGATAAGATTGATGACCAGATCAACCGAGGACATGCCAAGGAACAACAGATCCGAGACGTACTCAGACGCTTGGATGCGCTGGAGGCAGACAGGCAGGCGGGCCACCCGGCCGCCTGGAGGCGGTTGGACCAGGGAAGCCAAGATGATGACAGAGGACCCGCAGTGATAGTTGGAGGATGGCGAGAGGATAACGATGCAGAGGCGACCAAACTGGCTGTCCAGACCTTCATCAAGGAGAGGCAGCTGCCGCTGCCGGTGGACGAGGTTTTCGTTCCAGGACGACAGCGAGGGTTTGCGGTGGTACCGCTGCAGATCGGGGGGGGCGACACCACCGTTGCGGTGACTCGGAAGGCCATAGAAGCAGTGGAGATCACGAGAAGGCTTCAAGTCAAGTCGGGACAAGACTAGGGAGGGCAAGGATATGATCATTTGGGCAGCTGTCTCCCAGCCTCCGGAGGTTCGCCGGAAAGCCAGACTTTTGGCCAAAACCAAACGAGCCATTTTGGAAGGTTTGGAGAGCGCCGGCCGCCTGCAAGTCCGGCCAAGGTGGCTGGGTGTGGCATGCGACCGACCAGGGAGCACACCTTGGAGTGCGAGATTGGATGGGTGGATGCAGCGACAGTGTGCCAGCACACGCGGGAAGAAATCAAGGCCTTCTCTGAGCGCTGAGCAGCCATCGTAAGGAGCGAGCCGGGATGGCCGACAGGCCCAGAAAGCAGACGTGTGCAGCCGCAGTGGCTCCCTGTAGACCCGGCCGAACCGCGAGAAGCCCCCAAGCCACCTTATAACCCATTGGATGATGTAACCTGGAGTGTTCGCCGGAGTCTACTTGCCAGGCAAACCGAGCAACCTGACCCGAGAGTGCAGGCTAGAGACAGCAAGGGAGCAGAGCGAGTGGGAAGCCAGGCAGACAGCCCTGGTTTTTCGCTACCCCTCGTCCCCGACCAAGCGAGCCAGCAGAAAGAGGTGAGGAGTGCCAGACCATGCAGTCAGGCCAAGGCCCGTGGTGAGCGCAATGCTGGTACAGAGCAGAGAGAGGAGCGGGGAAGCATCAGAGCAGACAGTGGGGGGTACGGCTCGGGATGGGACAGAAAGGCTACAGGCGGGGGCGGTGCCGCGGCGGAGGCAGTGCGGGGAAATGCAACACAGAGAAAGCAGCCCACCAGGAGAAGGCCCCCGCACCGCCGGCTCGGCAGGGAAACTAGGGGAAGGAGCAGGAACCGCAAAGCAGAGACCCGCGCACAAAGCACGCAAAGAGGGGACCGAAAAAGGGAAGTGCAAGTCATGACATGGAATGTGGGAGGCCTGCCCAAGGACAGGATGACGGAAATGGTAGAGTTGTTGCCAGCTTTGGGACTGGGACATGTGGAGGTTTTGGCGATGCAAGAGGTGTCTTGCCCTCCAAGAATTATGGAGGTCCAGGCGGGTAAAGGGAAAGGAAGATGGCGCATTGTGGCGGGCAAGAAGACTACGGAGTGGAGAGGCAGAATGATCGCAGTCAGAGAGAGCCTTGGCAGAGTGATCCACAAAGAGCTGGAAGACGATGCTCTGAAAATTACGATCAAAACGGCTGATGGAAAATTGGGAGTGCTCAATGTACATTTGCCGCCTAAGGCTACCCTGTCGGACACGGGCAGGCGCACGACTGCGTGGAGCAACATGCGTAGCGTGAGGCAACCCAGCAAGATGGTAATGGGAGACCTGAACGAGACATTGGTGAGAGCGAGGGCGAGCAGAGAGGAGTGGTCTACCTTGCAGCAAAAAACGGCAAGAGGTGCCATGCTACTACAATGGCTCAGCGAGCAGGACATGCAAGCACCGAACCAGGAGATGATGACGCCAACATATCACCCATACAATCACCTCCACCAGCCCAGACGACTGGACTATATTTTCTTCGCAGAGATTGAACCAGGAACACCAGGAAAGGTACACCAACTACGGCACCTGGCGTCTAGTGACCATGATGCAGTTACGGCGAGTATGACACTGCGTATGGAAGGGCGGCGAAGGCCGAGAGACCGACCGGTAGCCCAACATGGGGCAAGACAGCTAAGGGCGGGAGAGGTAGTCCAGCAGACCCTGGAACAAAGCAAAACATGGAAGGGGGACCGGTTGAAACACCTGCAAAGAGTAGCCCGGCAAATTACGGAGACCAGGACAAATCCCTTCCGATATGTAGAGAGCAGGGACATTAAGGAATTACGAGCTGAGGCAATGAGACGAAAGCACACACCAGCAGCAAGAACCCTTTGGAAACAGGTCTGGCAGAGGAAGAAGCAGCACAGGGACCGAGCTCCTACAAGAGGTCCTCCGCAATAATTGGCATGCTTTGCAAGCAGTCAAACGCAGCAGAAAGCCCACGATGTGGATGATGAATCTCACGGCGGAGGAAGGGTGGCAAAAACGCATGAAGACCCACTTTGAGAGCATCTTCAGGAAACAGGAAGGAGAGCAAGTCAAGCAAGGGGTCCAGACGATCTGGAGGCGGCTGGAGAGAAGATGCAAGGAAACGCTGTGGGAACCCTTCGCGCCAGAGGAATTAGCAGCGACCATGGGAAACTGGAAGGGAGGTAAGAGTACGGGACCTGATGGGGTATCCTTTGAGGCGCTGAAAGCGCTGTATCAGGATACACAATGGCGCGGTGCCATCCTGCATGAGCTTAATGACGCCCTCCATAAGGGCAGACTGCCACCAGATCTGAAGGAATCCATCACAGTGCTCATCCCCAAGGAAGCCAACCCTA